GAAGGGCTAACGCTCGAAACGTCAGCTTTTGTAATCGTTACGGTGGCCAATTTACTATTTCAACTTTGTTGATATCTCGTTGCCATGTTCCCACCAATAACGTAGCTCCATTTTCTGCCTTTAAAAGCACACACAACCCACAATTCCTCTATTCGCTCCGACGAAGGGCTAACGCTCGAAACGTCAGCTTTTGTAATCGTTACGGTGGCCAATTTACCATTTCGACTTTGTTAATATCTCGTTGCCATGTTCCCACCAATAACGTAGCTCCATTTTCCGCCTTTAAAAACACACACAACCCACAATTCCTCTACTCTCTCCGACGAAGGGCTAATGCTCGAAACGTCAGTTTTTGTAATCGTCACGGTGGCCAATTTACCATTTCAACTTTGTTGATATATCCAAATTATTTCGTTACCCCCACCGACGCAGCCCCAAACAGTTTCTTTCGAAACTATCGGCCTTTATTCATTTAAATTATTTTCACTCGTTTAGCATATTTAGCGTGCAAGGTGAGGTCATTTCAGATGGTCGCTGGCATCACATGTGCATCGCAAGGTCCCACTCCGATGGTAAATGGACATTTCATTCTGATGGCGCACAGAGAGTGGAAGATGTCGGTCTGGGGACTGGCTATAGCACTGAGAGCGGTTTTATGATCATTGGGATATTCAAAGGCAATATGGGTGGCTTTAACATGTGGGACGAGTACATTGATGATGTTTCTCGGATTGAAAAAATAGCGCATGCATGTTCGTCTATAACCGGAAATGTCGTGCCATGGCCAGAGGTTTATCTATGGCGGAGAGGAAATGTCCTGAAAAAGAAGACTTCTGTTTGCAAATTCTTTGGTAAGCATTATATGAAAAAAACATATGAAAAAAATACATGAAAAAAATACATAAAAAAAATACATGAAAAAAATACATGAAAAAAATACATGAAAAAAATACATGAAAAAAATACATGAAAAAAATACATGAAAAGAGACGATCAAATGACCATGTCTTATGGGAAGATTGCTCCAGATGTTGTCTCTAGATGTTGTCTCTAGATGTTGCCTCTTCTTCGTTGCTCAGGATTTTTTCCTCCCTCCATCATAAGAGTGGCTCTTTCCGGCCACGTTCCCTTCGTATTCACCATCAGCTACCAAATGAAAGCAAAAACAACTGACAAGCTATTTATTTCCGCTATCAGACATTCACTGTCATGAGAAATGGGAAATGATCAAAGCTGAAGGCTTAATTGGTTGAGAAAGTGGAACGAGTAATTCTGCATTTATCACGTGGCCAAGTAAAGGAAAAATAAAACAATCGAAGATAATTCTCAACAGTGAAGGAAAGATTGCACTATACAGGTCTAAGAATTAAGGAGGAGTTATATGCAACATGCGTGCTCACAAAAGGGAGATTAAGTTATTAATTTTCGGACCATCTCTTTGTTGTATGATACATCATACATCGAAACTACGCCAGCTCAAGCCTGGCATTCACTTTTCTCTCTTTCAGAGGTCGCCCATTGGGATTTTAGAAGACACGGCAACTCAAATTCCAGAACTACATATGACTTTCTATCTAAAACGTGGGGTAGCTTTACCAAACATGGCTATGACAGAGTGAAAGGTGTGGCGAGCTTACAAGTCAATGAAAACTTGGCCTTGGGAGCTGACGTTCAATCAGAATGCCTTGGTAATCCAAATCTTTGTTATCAAGGACTTTCCCTCAGCTTTTGGTTGCGTCACAAGCGTAAGTGCGGGTTCTTTTAGTTGTTTCTTCTTTTTAAGCTATAGCTAAAATCAGAAAGCGTCCTTGAACAAACGCTAGACAAGACACATACGGTGCTGATGGTAGTATTTAAGATAAAAGACGGTGGTAGCAAATTTCTCAAACACAATTATTGCCTTCTCTATGACAGTTTTTTCGTTTTTGTAAACAAACAAGCCTGCTCATGACTTCTTCCCATTTCTCGATCTAAGATGGACTTACAATCCAATCAGGCGGTCAGGGGGGAGTAACACTACTCCAATTCGCTTCATGCTATGGGAATCGGGATATGCTAACGAGTGATGGGCCACATACCTTGTGTGTGTAGACGTCAATTTTTCCACACTTTTTTATGTAATGGTGTTGTGTAATGAAGACAAGTCATGTTAAAAGACCAGTTACATCTCAATATTGCAGCACGCTTCATCACAACAATTTCTGGGTATGAAGATGAGTACGACAACATTCTTGGAAAATGGCTTGACGCTGTACTTCCGAAAGAGGGTTCGTGGCTTCGTTGTTATAAAGCATTTTCCGGCTGGAAAGGTCCCCATTTCCACAGTTGCGACGGCTTGGGACCGACTGTGGTATTACTTCGGGTTCAGAAGAACATTTTTGGAGGATTTCTGTACAGTAATTGGGGAGGTAAGTCAAAAACAGTTGTCTAACAAATGCGCTCTAAATTTTAGGTTTAGAAATTAGAACTACACAGCAAATGTATATTGGTGCCCTGGTAAAAAAGCCTTTATATTTTGATAAATCTTACACGGTTGCATTCGGTCACGAATTGTTCCAAAATTAATAGAAAATGGCTAATTTCAAACAAATTCATATTTGTTTGTATACAGGGTAAATGCTCCTAGCGGTCATTTTGTAAAATCGTCAAATGTCTGCGATTTTCCCCTAAGCTGTATTGACCTGTAGATCCCGTACAAGTTTCTCGCGAGCGAGTTATATGGCTCGTGGAAGATAAAAATGCAGGAAGGGCCCGAAAAAATATCATTCTTATCATAGGGTCTGTAAATATGTTCAGCAAAATTCTTTTTCAGGTGCGGACGGTTACTTAAAGAGTAACCAAGCATTTATCTTCAGCTTAAAAAATTTACGAGGAATAGCACCTTTTAAGATGGATCTTAAGAGCGAGAAATCAGATCACGCGGCGATGCAGAAGAGCACATTTGGACCCATCTTTGGAGAAGATGACATAAACATCCACTCCTCACCTACTGAGAGTGCAGCGTCTTTTACAAGCCTCAACAACTCGTACCAGTTCCCAAGCAGTCTGGCTCTAAGTATCGACGAACGAGACTCCCTACTGGCTGGTAGTAAATATTTCATAGTGGATGACTTGGAGGCATTTTATTACGCAGGTATGGCCAATTATTTCATTTGTCATAAACACAAAAGCAGACATAATTATTCACCGGAAATGCCCTGAGAGGTATTCTTAGCGGTATTGTTCGAAAACTTGGACAAGTTTGAAAGATATTCTTCCTCAGAGTGCATTTACCTGGATGAAAACGCGCGTAATTTAGAATTCGAAGTATCTTGGAACGTACTAGAAATAAACCATTAATGGACCTATGAATTCAATTCATTCGTTAGCTACTAACACAAGGACTGACAAGCAAAGATTTATCACAAACAATGAGCCGCATTTAAGTCATATTTTCGCCCTTATTTTGCTTTATTGACGATATGCAATGTTCGCAGAGATTTAACAGGTTCAACCTTGGCATGGTACACTATTACCCATCCAAAAACCGAGTGAGGAGAGGGAATAAACTGAGTGACTTAAGTGGAACTATCGTCAATGCAGAGGAAGAAGCAATACTGCTGTTCAGTTAATATTGAAAAGCGGAGGTGTATTTTAACTTAAGTCAATGTGAAATAATAAACCGTTGTAATGTGAAGAGGTGGCCAAATTGGTAGTTGCAAGGTTTACACGAAACATTTCGTAACGTAAAGTCTCATTGTGCTGTTTACCTCTCATTTCTTTGAAGCCACCTCTAACGAAGTTGGACTTCGCAAAGGGGCGTTGCATGATTCCCAATTTAGTGCAAGCTCTAGTCTGGATGATACTGATGCACCCGGACGGCCAGAGCACGCCTCTTTTAACAACGAACAAGGTTCATGGTGTTCTTACACCAATGGCGCAGGTGAATGGATAGAATTGGACCTTGGTTCGGATCAGACCATATACGGAGTGGCAGCTAAAGGATCACATGACTCCAACGCAGAAGTCACCTTGTACAAAATAGGCATACGTGGATCGTTGAATGATCCATGGCTCCATGAAGTGGTTAGTAGTTCCGATCTATTGGTGTTTAAAGGAGCCAAGGACTTGATTTCTTTCTGTTTACGCTCGAAAACCGGCACAAATTGGGACTTTACAATTTAAACTATCAGTGCAACAGTCTCTTTCAAGCTAATTCATAGTGCGCGAAAAAGTCAGTTTCAACGATGAAAAACATCTAATTTATCCTAGGAGGGCGAATCGGAGAACAAACCATAGTTTAGAGCATTTTTTTAATCTATTAAATTTCAATTCCATAGCATTTGATACAAAAAGTTCACATATCTATTTTTGTTTGCAGACGTCAAATGGGTCTTTGAACTATTTTTATCCAAACAGTTTCATAGCACGTTATGTGCGATTTACAGTGATTGGCGCAATTACGGCGTCCTGCATGAGAGTGGGCGTATTAAAAGGTTAGTCTCAAGATCACATTTATCCTCATATATATCTATAAAATGACTGAGATACTACGAACACTCTAATTAGTCAAAAACCCATCGTTTATTTCACGGGTTAACCTACAGAAAATTGACGTTTATCTTATAAAAGCAATAGACAGCACTTCCTATCGGTTTATCGGCGTAGTAGCACATACTGGATGTTGCATAAACACGAGAAAAGTTTGTAAATCACGAGGAGGAGGTCAAGAAGGCTGGAATTTTGCTGTTGTTGTTGATTGTGATGTTATTGGTTTTTTTGTTTTATTTCTTAGTTTTTGCGTTTTACCGACTGAGACAAAGTCGAACCATGTGCTGCTTGATTTGAGCTGTAAATTTCATCTAAATAAGCTTCACCTCAGAAAAAGGTTACCCGAGATTTATGTCGGGTAATCACTACAGTTCTGTTTTAAATGCTATCTGAATGCTTTGTACAGAGTACTGCCCCTCCGGCTGGAAATACTTCAGAGGCTCTTGCTATTTTTTCTCACCAACTTCAAAGTCCTGGGAAGCCGCAAAAAGTTCCTGTGCTGATTCATCGGCGAACTTGGCCAACGTTGGATCTAAGAAAGAAAATGATTTCATCGCTGCTCACACAGAAAGTGACAACTGGATTGGACTTAAAGAGATTCAAGGAAACCAAATGAACTGGACAAAAGATCAAACCAATTCTGAATATACTGCGTGGAAGGAAGGAGAACCTGTCTATGAAGTCAACCGAACCGAATGTGCCTGTCTCTCCCATAGTTCTGGAAATTGGTACACAGTTAGCTGTGACAATGAATTGGATTTCGTTTGCGAAAAAGGTGAGATAAGCGATTTGACACCGTCTTCATGTACGTGCACAAAGAATGAACCATAACGTCTCCTACACTAGGGGTTGAACATGAGCCGACCCCAAACCATGTTAAACACGAAGAGAAAAAAAGACAAAGGGTAATTCGTTTTGTCGCAAAGCTTAAACCGAAAAATTTATCCCATACAAGTAATGCAGAGCTCGAGTTTCGTGTTAATTTGCTCCATCGTTCATATCCGAGACGTCCCCGTTTAGTTAGGCCCTACAATGGTTTTATATGTGACAAGTGTCCCTAGCCCTGATAGCGTCAGCAATGTCGATTAGAAACATATTATGACGAAAAATTATGACTGAAAGCATGAACGGGTTTATTCTAACGCTCAATCTACCCCGATCAACAGCTAACTGACTCCGTTCTCGCTACTTACAGCTCTCACTCTTCATGACGTCAGTCACTGGTCATCATCCACCTGGAAGTGTATGTCTGAGCCAAAACTTGCTCGACTGCACGAGACGAGAAACTGCCATGCTTCCTGGTGTGGAAGCGTGGGGGCCTGGCTTCAAATAGACCTTGGTCGAGACCATAACATAGACGGGATACATACCCAAGGTGCTCGTGACAATTACGGCTTTGTAAAGAAGTTTACGTTGAGTTACAGAACGATGAGTGGAGAATGGCAGAAGTTTGAAGAGGACGGAAACGTTAAGGTAATACTCCATATTAGGAAAACAAATTGGCTTAAAGCTGAGCTCACGGCGGAACCGTTTTAGCTTTTGATCACCTGTCCCTACAATCAAATGCTAAAGGATCTTTTTAAACTAAATTGCTTGGTTTCCAAATGGTTTCGGTAGATATTCGTAGAAATACTGAAAATTCATTATTGCTATATTTTTTGGCTGATGTCCTCCGTATTTCACTGTGCTTTTAGAGTATACGGATATAAACGAGACCTGCCTTGGAACCTATGAATAGTTATCTACGAATTCAGCCCAACGAGTACTTTAAGGGTCCCTGTTGGACAACCAGTTCGTACAACAAAAAGGTTTATGCATAACACATCCTTTCGTCTCTGCATTTCAGGAGTTTGTGGGAAATGTTAATGGCAACAGAGTGGTGAAGCAAACCTTTCTGCCGCCATTCACAGCACATTTCGTCAGGTTCTATGCTACAGAATGCAACACAGCGACTAGTTGTTGCATGAGGGTGGAGATTTATATATCAGGTAAGGATATTTCAATAAAGAAGCTGTTCATGTAAGAGGCTACGGTTGTCTCTTGTTGGTGAGCAAGGTTTTCTTTTTAGGTCTGTTCGCAAAATCCATTAAGATAAAAATTACCAAAAGTTACCCTCAGGGATAACTCTACACTAAAAACATTCCCATGCAGTGGGAGAAAATTTTGTTTCCGAATTAACTCAGAACTACCTTGTATCTGTTATATTCACTCCTCGGACACCTCTGTCCACAAGACACTTTTATCTGGTAACACCTTCTCTGCTCTTTAGGTACTTGCTCTCTCATTTGAGGTTCCCCAGCATTTAAAATCAGTCCCTACTCAGTCGAACTATCTTTGATTGTCAACATTACAGAACCTCTAGCAATAACTACCATGTTCCGCTCTTTGTTTCTTATCCAGCCCGGTGTCCTTCTGGTTGGGAATATTTCCAAGGTTCCTGTTATTGGTTTTCGAGCCATTCAAATTCACAGTCTCACGCAGTAAACACTTGTCACGGGCGAAATGCCGAGTTACCCAAAGTGACCTCGGTAGAAGAGAACAACTTCCTAAAGAAAAGTGGACACAGTTGGTGGCTGGATTTGCGACGAGATGCCACGCACAAGAGCATATTTAGGTGGAGTGATGGTTCCTTGCCGGACTTTACAAACTGGAAATCGGGTGACCATAATGACATTATCAAGGAATGTGTGGAACAAGAAGACACTGGAGAATGGAACACTGTGCTCTGCGATGCAAATCGCAAAATTGCTTGCAAAAAGGGTACCTGTGTTATTGTTATTATTCTATAATTGCATGTATTTAAACATTTAGGGTAGGCACTACGTTCTTTACACTAGCAGTGTCAACTTCATTAAATAAATTCAATGTTGACTGCACGAATATTGACAAAGCTACAGCCAACATCTCACGTAAGGCTTTAGAGTTGACAGGATCACTAAAGTCTTCCAAATTTACAACATATATGTTCTCAGCGCACGGACTCAAGCTCCCTGTGCTCGAAAAGCGTAGATTATGATCTTTATGTGAAACTCAGACTATTCTCTTTTTCAAGTGTTATTGACACCAGGATTCTCCTCTATTTTTCCCCTTATCCGATGTGTAATACGGTGTAATCCTTTTTGACAACGTTAAGCGATTTTAAGTCATCCATTTAAATACGGACTTTATCCAGTAAGGAAAAACTCTAATTATTAAGGAGAGGTCTGTTTTCAAGCTGGGCTAAGTTTTTCTACCATGGAATACTGTTTCAAATCATCGTTTTCCTTTTTTTCTTTCGAGCAGAAAATATCGACGTCATTTTGGCAACGGGCGCTGTTAGCAAACGCAGCGCCGGAATTGTCTTTGGCTTTCAAGAGTTTACAAACACATATCATCTGTCGGTATCTGCGAGCCCTCACAATTGGGAAGTTCGACCTCCAGACTACTCCCTGGGTTGGGTACACGTGGGCATCACGTGGAGTAATCGATGGGGATTGCGTTTCTATCAGAATGGCGTTGTCACAGCCGAGTCAACCAATCCTGCACGACTTCTTTACGCAATTGAGAGTAACTTCCCACGATTTTTTATCGGAAAGGAGTCAGCTACGCATGCTTTAAAAAGAATACATAATCTGCAGATTTCCGATCTAAGAATCTGGGAGTCGGTCATTCCACTAGAAAAAATGGTAGACCTGCAAACAAATTCAGGTAATTAAGACAGCAAGTTTCAAAATTAGGACATCGTATTTATCATAAAATCTTCTTACTAACTATTTTAATGCCAGAAAGCACTATGGTTTTTAGATTTCTTACGTTAAAAGGAAGTGGTAGATAAAGGGTCACTCAGAACTTACAAAACGTGTGCGACCCTTCCTCCATTTGACATTTGGTATCTTCAAGCTTCGTCTAACCTAAAGGGAAAAGAAGTGAGTGTTCATTGTTACACTGATAGAGTCGATGTCACATTTATTACAAAAAGTAAAACATTCCAGTCAATAAAACTGATATAAGCAGTGAAATTTTTTATCTCTATAGCTCTTCCTTGGTACATGTGGAAAAATATTGGCGATTATCAATATCCATGGGAGTTAAAATATGTCTCTCGGGAGAATCCTAATGAAGAAAACTTTGATGTAATACCGCAAGATACTGGTAAGTAAGAAAATCATGATAGTAGAAAATGTCTCTTGGTTGAAGGAAACACACACCCCGAAAACCATTTGAGATTTTTCTTCACCAGTAAAATTCATTGCTTACGGCGTTTTGAGATTCCAAATCTTTTAAAGATTGTGCTGAATAGCATACTTATACTTCAAAAGAAAGGTTTCCTCAACTGTGTGCAGACAGGGGAGGTGATGGCAGCATAGTAAAAAAAAAAAAGAAATAGATGAAAGAGGCCGAGGAGGTGAAGGCGAAGTTAACTAGAAACCAAAAAAAAATGGTTCTTTCTTAAACTGTAGTCTCTTCGGACGAAAACATTTCGAAATACTTTCGACCAGATTTAGAATGCTTAATTAGAGAAATTTCATCCTCGCATCTGCGAAACGTTATCCCTGTCATGTTATTTCTACAGAATACCATAACATGGGCTGTTTTAAAATAGATTCCGGTCCATCGATACCAAGTTTGGAAGGCACAGACCCACTACTATCTGGAAACTACGTTTCCAGAACGTACGCTCCGTTAAAATGTCGTCACGCCGCGCTTAGGAGAGGAAACAAAATGTTCGCTGTAGCGAGCGGAGGGAAATGTTTGTCCTCCTCAGGCGAATATTCTTCTGATGTCGTAAAAAGCTATACTGAGACATCCGATGAATGCAAAAACGGCAGAGGAGCAGCTCATTACGTGAATATTTACTTAATCAAAGGGGGTATGTGAGACGTAAGTGCGGCGCTGTGATTGGCTATTTTGGTGAAAGGCCTACCAAAAAGTGTATTTGTCACTGTAATCTATCGTTATTTAGGAAATATTTGTGTTTTTGATGGGAGAATATTATAAATATTATATATAATATGGGAGAATATTATAAATGACAAACCACCTCAGTTAAATTATTGCTAGGTGCAACTATCTTTAACGAAGATTTTTTTCGTTCACAGATAGTAACAACGCAGCTTTCAAAAAGCCCACTGCTCAATCTGGTACAATCAAAGCTTCTTCCTTTGCAACAGATGGCAGTCATTATAACTCAAACAAAGAGAAATGCAGTCTAACAACTTCACAGAACAACCCATGGTGGCGAGTGGATTTGGAAAGAGAAGTTTTAATTCGTGGAGTATACATTTATATACACTCCTCTGAGACACTCAACTATTTGCTTCAGATAAGAATCGGAAACCATGACAACCCAAACCTAAAGAAAAACTCGCCGTGTGGGGGATCTTTTAGATTTAAAAGGGTACATTGGAGAAGAATTCGTTGCCCTTCGCCGCTGAAGGGAAAATTTGTTAGCATAACAAGGATTGTTGGTAACAGCAACTTAAAATTATGCGAAGTTGAAGTTCGAGAAGAGGGTAAGTTTTACCAACTTTCATATCAAATTTGCACTGTTCTAAATGGGTAAGACCAAGTTACAAAAAGATAAAACCACAGCCCTTTAAACCTCCCTAAACGGTCAACGGTTTGGTAAGCCTAATGCTTGAACGATGCAAAAGTATGTGTAAGTGGTAAGCAATTTTTCCTGGTCGATCCAAGGATAAAAGAAAAGCGGATATAAGATATTGTCAAGTTGGAAGGGGGAACAAGCTGTATCGAGAAAACCCCTCTTGTCCGAGTTCCTTCCAAATCTCTTTCCGCCTAAATTTTCCCGCTCTCTCTCTCTCTCTCTCTCTCTCTCTCTCTCTCTCTCTCTCTTTCTCTCTCTCTCTCAAAAATAAAGATTGCTCCAGTTCAGGCCAATAAACAAACGCAAGCTGTGGTGAGGTACGAAGCAGAGGGAGCTAGCTTGAGACGCTCATATCTCTGCTGCAGTTCTTCCCGATGCTACTTCTCGCCTCGTTTTTTCTCGCACTTTCTCGTGAAAAAAAAACAAACAGTGAGCAGTCCAGGACAATACGCGTTAAATATTTTTGAACGCAAAAGAAACGCTTCAAAAACCTAATTCTTGTCTGTCTGGCTTGCATGACATAACGCAAAACATTACTAACCAACTACATTAATATCACTTTGGTACTCTTCTTTTTCAGCCACAGAATACGCAAAAGCAAGCATGTCCTATCCTCGTCAAAGAACGATCATTTCAGTTCTTGAGAGTTCATACCTTGTAGGAGCTGTGAATTGTTTAAGTTTTCATTACAACATGTCAGGACAAAATGTTGGAAGATTGAATGTTTTTATCGTCGATCAAGAAAACGCGTTATCTTTACCATGGCGACTTGCTGGTGACCAAGGGAACCACTGGAACATTGCTCAAGTTAGCCTTAATGCATTACACGGATTTAAGGTGATTTGTAGAGATTGTTGTTGTTGACGAGTGTGATAATGATAGTGATTATGATGATAACGAAGTAGGTGATAAAGGCGGTGATGAATAACTACAGCGAATCGTCACTAACATCAAAGTCCCCATCAACTCCTCATCATGATCATTGTCCCAATGCGTGAACGTCACAACTTGTTCAAACGGGGAAGTGTTCTTACTTTAGCGCAACAAATTATTTGGATGGGTTGCGTTTCTTCATTGTAAAAAAAAAAAAATGGGAAATTTGACTAAAGGAGTCTTCCTTGGCCAAAAAGCTGAACATTTCTGCGTGACTCTCCAACTCCAGGAAGTGATGCCCACGTAGCGTTCAATTTCAGTTCATTACACAGCAAACAAGTGATGAAATAAGTAAAATTTATCAGTAGAAAGGATATTATAAACAAATGGTAGAAAATAAGTTTGAATTACGGGCAAAAACAGAGAACGACGAGAAAGTCGGCATTGACAAAGGGGAAACGCTCCCTCGGCAATGCTTCTTCCATAGATGTAACATTATCTTTTTCTTTATTGCTCCTGTGGTAGATTAAGTTTGAGGCTCTCAGTGATGGCGGGATCAGTGGGGAGATTGGTATTCGAGACATTAAAGTGGGATTCAATTCTAGTTGCAAATGCACTCCAATAGAAGCTTGCCCGCAGATCACAGGTGAAGTTGCCTAAATGCTGTTGCATGGATGTTCCAGTGTACTGAGTAACAATAAGAATATTTACTAGGATTACAAATCCAATCCTTATCAAGCGCGTCACGCAGTTTATTTACCAAAAGCGAATGTGATATGGTTGATAGCCAACAAGAGCGTTGGCGCCAAGTTGCTCATAATCACCCACTTCCATAACCGTGATAACCACTGTACATCCGTAGACGTTTTTTTCTAATTGTACGTGACTTCTGGTTTGGCCATTGTACAATGGCTTTTAAGTTGTGGAGGTCACCCATTACAAGTCTCAAAATACACTTTCCAATGATCTAGTTCAAACAACAATGACTATCTTACGTAGAAGAAAAAAAAACTATAAAGTTGTCAGAGCATAACGCGTTTTAGTGTCTGCATGCGTAACCAGGTTCCTTGTGTCACAGCTCCGTGAGACATGTCAATTTAATTATCTGCTTGATCAAACTGACTTTGTCCTTAGGATTCCACTCAGCCATGATCAGCCACGTTCCTAGTTACCAGGACACGTTAATGAGGTGGCTTTCCGAAACAGGATATGGAGAGAAGTACTGGGTTCCATGTTACAGAGCCCATGTTGATGGATGGTCAAAACTCATCTTTCACAAAATTTGTGATGATGAAGGCCCCTCGGTAACTATAGCCAGGACAGGCTCGTTTG